CTATCCTGTGAATGGATGTGTGTTTTGCTGTCTTCGTCGTTGTCCATTGACGGTTTACTTAAAGATTTTATTGTTAGATTTTTATTTATACTCTTCAAATTATTTAAGCAAACAGAATTGACTGTGGAATTTATAGTTTGTTGAGATTTTTGCATTGTGTTGACTCTAATGTCTTGTTCAAAGTCATGTATGTCGTCATCTTCATTTTCGCTGCAGGATTCTTTCGGTGATTCAATAATCGGGTTGTTAACTGTCCCATTCATTTCTTCGATCTTTTCATGATGGTCTTCATCACAGTCATCAAATTCCATGTCCTCATCAAGTTCTGTGATTTGTACTTTGCCTGGATTAGAATCAGAGTCAGAAGCATAATCGTCTTCCGTTACTTTAGAATCTTGTGAATTTTCTTGAGATTTCGCAAACTGACTTGGTGAAGTGTTCCGAGATTTTATTGTAATGTTCTTACTAATACCCTGCAATATGTTTTTGACTGCCATATTTTTGTTTTGCATACTCATGGTGCTATCATTGTTTGATTCGTCTTTGAATTTATGTTGACTACTATTGTCTTCTTTCTCAATCTTTATATTATTTTCTACTTTAATATTTCTACTTGTTGGTGCTTGATTCAAAGGCTTGACTGTTATATTTTTACTTAAATTCTTTAGTGCGTCCATGGACTTAGTTGATCCAGGGGTACTTTGACTAGGTTGTGGCTGATTTCTACTGTTTTCTTCTTCATCTTCGGAGTCGTCTACATCAAAGATTTCTATTATTTCTTCAGGTTTTTGAGGTTCTACAACCTTTTTAGGAACATTTGTTTGTTTCACATTAGCAGACAAACTTTTATTTTTATTTATTACAGGCTTCGTTGTTATGTTTGTAAGTCTTTTTAAAATTTGAGCATTCAAGTTAGGCTGTGCATTATCCTTTTCAACTTTCATTTTAGGGATCTGTCCTGCAGGAGATTTAGACATATGTTGTCCTAGTACATATCTTCTTTCTTGATGATTCAATATCTTACCAGGTTTAGGTTCATTCGTTTCCAATTTAGTTTTCTTAATAGTTATGTTTTTATTGGCACTTACATCTTTTGATTGTAATCCACTTGTATTTTTATCATCTTGGACAATTTCGTCATTTTCAGATTCATATGCGTCAATATTCCTCTTTGTTGCCACTGACTTGACAGTTATATTTTTGCTTAGGGTTTTTAAGGCGTCTAAAGTAGGATCCTTTTCCACAGTTTTTGGTTTATTAACGTGTACTGTATCAACAGGCGAATCAGAAGCTTCCTTTTGATTAATATTTTCGGTAGCTTTAGTAATATTTGTTTCAGTAATTATCTCAGCCTTAGGTTCTGTTAGTGTGCTGTTTTTGTTTTGACTAACAGGTTTTACAGTTATTAGATGACTCAAACGTTTTAACGTTGATAAGGAACTAGATGATGCACTCAATGTGGTATCATTATCTATGTTTGTTTGGCAATCATCTATGGCTTTATCATCCTCCATGTGATTGTCAAGATCCGATGCATGTTCTGCATTATCAAATTCCGCATCAGAATGGTCAGAGTGATATTTCTCAATTTCTTCATGACCCGGTTCATGTGTATTTTCAGTTTCTTTAGTTAGATTGTTAGTTGTTTTTTGGGAATAATCGAACTTTGTAACTTTAGATATTATTTGCTGTGGAGTTTCATTACTATCTGGCACATCTCTGTTTAAATCATCAGTCTCTTTGTCTAAATCAGTATCCAAAACACTGTCGCTGACTTTATTTGCTTCGCATTGTGTATCTGGTACAGTAACTGGTGGTTCTTCTGTATTTGTAGTCTCTTTAGTGCTATCTGTATCGGTTTTAGTAGAGTCCATTTCAATGTCATTCAAGCTGATTTTGTTAATATCTTTAGGTGTTTCTGGCTCTTCAACTGCATTTTGTATTGTTTCCTCAGGTTTCAAAGTTGCTGCAGTAGGATTTATTTTCTTAACTATTTTTATCTGACTGTTACTTTGATTTATTAGTTTATTTAAAACTTCACTCGAAGTTTCTATTTCTCTTATTTGATTTAACTTAGGAACAGGTTTATTGGCAGTGTTAATAGGTGTTGAAGTGGCGACTTTAAAATTTTTAACTATTGGCCCCTGACCTATCTTTCTTTTGACGACAATGCCTGCCTTTTTTAACTTGTTCAGCTCAGCAGAGGTGGTAGCATTGTTCGTCATCTTCATATTATTTTTCAGTTGCTTTTTAACGACGCGTGTAGGTACTTCTTCTATGCCCTGGAAGTCTAGACCCTCACCGAATACGTCCTGGTTCATACTAAGAAACTCATCGAGAGTAATCGCCGATTTCTTTGACTTTTTATGTTTTTTATGCTTCTTTGGTTTCACAGGACTACTTTCTTCTTCATCGGCATGGTCCATCGCTAATTCTAGGAACTTTTCCTGAAATATCGAAAGTAAGCTATAATTAGAAACGAATAAAGTGATTTTAGCTAGCACTTATTCAAATATATATATATTGAAGTGTATTATCATAAAACTATAGAATTAAATAAATAATTACAATGCCCACAGCATTCATAGTTGATTCAGGATCATCTGTATCTGGGTTATCATTTAAGTTTTCCACCTTTTCTATTATAGGTGGGACTGTTTCCAGGGAGAAATCCAGTAATTCCATGAACCTGTAATAAAACAACAATCATGCAAATAAATATAAAATAGATTGTAAAACCAGTTATTGTTATTTGTCACATTGGTGGTGGTGGACAGTAGTTCATCAAACAGGTCCAATTTCATATAGGGAATTTTGTAAAGCGAAAACTAAGTTTACATCATGCTTGGCAGCCAAACATCATTCATAACAATATGTCAAATCTCCCATCACCGAAAGAGTAGACAAAGGTGCAGATATACACTTTGGAGCAAAGAAACGAAGCCACTAGTGTTATTTATTTTTTTCATTTTATCGAGCCATCTATTACCCACCATACATAAGCAACAAATGTATAAATCTGGACTTAAATCTGAGAATGGTGAAAGAAGAAATAGAGATTTACACCAAGAGCTACCAAATAAGACTTGACCAACACATTACTCAGCTTGCTGCAGAACTGCAGTGGTTGGGCAGTCTAAAATACTCTCGCCTAATAAAAGAAACAGTATACCAAACTTAGCAACAAGGTTTGCCGATAAAAGATGAGAATGGTACCACCGCGGACACATCTCGGCTAATCCACTTCCACTGACGAAAATCTCGACAATCAAATTAGATTATTACTTAGCAATCTGTTTCTACAGAAACATGTGTAGAAACAGATTGCTAAGTCGCAGGATAGAAAAAAAAAAATATTGGACCCTCTATAACATTAAAAACGAGAAAAAAACGCTAGTGATTCTTTGCTCCCAAGTGCATATACAATGGAAACCCATTATTCACCAATAAATGGTGAGATAATGGCCAAACGCCATCCTACTACATACAAAAAAGTGTATTAAAGTGTGTCCTATTGCCATATGTAGTTTCAGTACTATTAGTGGGAAGCTTCCGAGACGACACAGGAATCAATCCCTTGCGGCTAATTGACCAAAGCCGCAGACACCAATCAACCAGTAAAAAATTCTCAAGGCAAGACAGTGGAGCTTCCAAATATTTATAATCAGTTAAAAAAATTACATATAATATAGGTACTTAATTACTTACGCAGGATTATAAATGCTATACACATCATCAGTGGTATGAAAAGTGAGGTGTATTTCATATGCATCCAGATGGTAGAATACTGCATCACATGCTGGACATTTTAATACTTCATCTGGACTCTGGTTCTCATCTCCATGCTCATCTGTGATGTGTTTCTATAAACAATTCAGATATTTTATATGTTAGATACAAATAGTATATGATAAGTTTGTTTCTCTGGTTAAACATGCAAATCCTTTTATTGGAATTTATATACTCTTTTTGTGTAGGGTACTCTATAGGATATAAAATTCCATGCAGTAACCAATAGCCTACAAACATTAATTTAAAAAAATATATATCTATGCTATATTATGATGTCCACATTATTTATCTTGCATAATGCTATCCAATGATACTCATGTTGTGATTGCTTACTTTTCATATTTATTTTATTTAAGACATAGATAGACAATAATGTATATTAAATCATACCATAATTTGATTATGCCATTAATGTGCTTATGATTAGGTTTAAGATTTCATAGGTAAAATTATGCATGTGTTGCACACCAATAAGTTTATTACCATGTATTTTATGGGACTGATAACATAAGGAAGCATGCAAACGAATACATGGACATTTTTAAAAAGAAGTTCTATGTTGGTAGTCACGCGGTTATTTCTAACATATTCAGAAATTTATACATATAGTGTGTGCAAGAATACTTACATACAGATTGACTTTATTTTCATACTCTTCACCACAGAAAGGACAGTAATAAAGTGGAATGATGACCTGAAAATTACATATAAATATATTAATGATATTAACCTTTATTTAAAAAAAAAAAAAATTTTTTTTCATTACCTGAGAATAGGTTTTGATTTTCTTAGACTGCCCAATGTCTGGCATGTCAGTATCTGACCGATGAAAGAATTTGTTGTGGTTCAACATTGCAGAGGCAATGAAGAAATCTACATTACAGCAGTCACAATGAAAGCGTTTGTCATCTGTGCTCTCCTCCTCACCTCCGTGAGTTGTCCGTACATGGACATTATATAAATGCTGTAACATTTAAAATATTTCAAAACTTCAGCACAAAACTTGGTAAGATGGATATTAAGATAGCATACTATAAAGATGACCAAGAATCTACATGCAAAAAGCCAGGTATCCAGTTGACAAAATGAGGCAATAGGTATATGAATCCTCTATTGTTAGTTAGGTCATGAGCACTAGCCAAATTTTTGTATTTAAAGTTTGTATGGAGGTGATAATGGATACAATAAACAACTGTCAAACTGATAAAAATGATAAGCAAACAAAAGTAGTGGGGAGGGGCACAGGTCGTCCTGCAAATAGAGCAAACACGTGAGTGACGCCGGCTCCCGGGATAGGCCTTACCTTCAATGTAAATAGTTTCCCGCACCAAGGGCAGAAGTACTTCGCATCGTGATCTGGGTGTACCTTGTGCTTGTGAGTTATAGCCTTGGATATTGTCGGAAACACTTGGGAACACACGTCACAGGTAACCAACTCTGTCTTGTCTTTAGATTTCTGGTCAGGCCCTTGTACAGGTATTTCAAAACGCTTTTTATACTGTGGGTCACCGTGTTTCCTAAATTTAAATCCAATTTTAGTTAAAAAGTATTGAAAGATAATATGTATCGTTTTTGTAACAGAAAATTAGGTTACCTGAAATGTTCTTGCAAATCTTCCTTATTGTCGAAAGTATCTTTGCAAAATAAACAATTAAATTCCTTTTTTGTATTCATGGTTTTCACTGAACTGAAACAAATTCTTTAGCCTAAGCACAATATTATTACTTCAAATCACATTTGTCATTTCTTATTTGAATATTTTACAACTTTAAATACACGCACAACACTGATTATAAACAATACTAAGTTTATTTCATGTACTATTATACCACAGGTGTGGCATAATGATATATATTTAACATTTTATAATGTCATTAGAACTGTCGCTTTACCCAAACAATAAGTAGGCCATTTTGTATTTATTTATTTCATTCTTTGCTATTCCGTCCCACTCCAGTATCAAAGTAAAATTAGGGACGCGACACGACACTTTATCGATATTATGCAATTTTCTTAGTCGATTATTCGACCACCACTTGTCTATGGTACTTACTAAACTAGTTGTGGTTAAGAATTTTCCAGACAAAAAATGTAAATAAAATTATTTACATACTCTGAATTAATTAATTTGTGTCATTGTATAAATTAGTCCGTAGACAATTTGTAAGTTAGCTAAAAACTTCCGATGTCTAAACATGAAATGAAAATAACTTTAGCAAAATAAATCCAAATGAAAGGACATAGACCGTTAATTAGTGAGAAGTTGATAACTATACATTTTATTGCTAAGCACGTAAGCACGAGGTACGTTTGTGTCTTTTTTTTTTTATAACACGAGTTATTTAGTCATTTTGCAAATGCTAAGCACAAGGTTTATGTTGTTTAATTTTGTTGTTATATATTTAGTTATGTTGTTTAATTTCTAAACGCAGCAAAACATAACTTGAAGGCAAAAAATGCAATCTGGAATTATTTTTATTTATTTTCTATAACAATCATTTTCTGATTGTTGACTCGCTTTTTATAATAATGGCATTACAATATTGAATGTAAATCTTTTGAATCTCATACAGTAATCAATATGAGGGATGCCTCTTAAGTTTGGTCGTTTAGAGAAAAAAGAAACACAGAACCTTATAGTACTTTTTAGTATTTTTCAAATTACCACGTAGCTTAATACACTTTTCCATTCGCTCAAACCAATTATTATAACATTTATTCCACTCTAAAGGCTAACTTGAAAGCATCGACTGCTTCTTCACCGGAATGAAACTTTTGACCACCAAGACTTTTCTTAATTCTAGGTAATGTAAAGAAATCGTTAGATCTTTGGTTAGGACTGTCTGGGGGATGATGAACAATTTCTGCTTCTTCCTGCTTCAAATATTCAATCGTTTGACGAGCGCTGTGTGAGCTTGTGTTGTCGTGGTTCAGGATGATGCGTCGCTTTGAGTTACATTTTCGAAGTTCGACGATGACTTATTGTTAACAAACTGTGATATTCCACTCTTCATTAACTGTTCTACGGTCTCCACGTGGCCATCTTCTTTAAGGGGCTTCGAGAATGAACAACTTTAGTCGGCTTTGCCTCGTCTTGAAAGACCCAGATTTTAGAACTACTTTGAAACTAGCTTTGTCACACTAAGCGCTTCATGCACGATCTTCTGAACGTTTGTCCCCGAGATCCCTAATATAGCCTCTATCTTCTGATACGTCACATGACGATCTTCGAGAATTTGTCCTTCGCGAGATTTGTCACAAATATTAGTATTTCCACGCTGGAATTCTAAATACTAGTGTTCAATAAATAGTTCGCAGACATGAGTCTTCATTACCGACTACAGATATTGAGTTTTCAAAACACTGATGCCGCGTCACGCCTCTTTTAAACTTGTAGAAAATTATTACACGAACATTTTACTTAGAATGTTAATTTTTTTCGTACACAACCTGACAGATTCCAATCGACGCTGTGACTAATCACTACCATTAACCCTAATACGTTCAACTATTTTGAGATTAAAAATTTATACGAATACGAACATAGAAAAGTTCCAAATTCAAACTTGCCGGGAAATATGGAAATGACAGACCTTAAAAGGCATGCCTTGTAGAATTATTCCTTCTTTATCTAATTTTTTGCCTTTTAATACATAGCCTAGACCACTTATTATTTAACCATGACCTTGAATACACAATTTTTTTTTCAGTTTTAACAAATATTATCAAAATGCTCAAAAAAATGGTACCGACGTGTAATTTTGCTAAACGGATGTATTCAACAGCTACTGGAAAAGTGAAAGCACAAAAATATGTACTCACGAAGTATTTTCAAGGGGAACCGAAGAAATCTGATTTTAAAATTGTCGAAGAGGAACTTCCAGAGTTAAAAGAAGGGGGTATGTAATTATTAACATATTCAAATGAGAGTAACCTATGGAGTTTCTTGCTCGCTCTTCTCCATAGGTATCTACACCTTGTAATGAGCAACTAGCTTTATTTCTAAATTTTTGTTGTTGACGTTCAAAAGTGCCTTCTATGCTACGACTCAATCGGTTTTGATATTTGTATTATTTATTATATTATTTTTATCGAGTTAAAAAGTGGAGGTACTATCTGTAGATGACTTTTTATTCATGGGATATGGCCCGGAGTGGGTGATTCAGTCAAAATCAATATCAGTTTCAGCTGCCATCGCGTCAAACTCTTTTTTGCCAAGCTATATACATAAGTATAGCCATACAACGCTGAAGAGTTTACAAGGGTGGCGGGCTAATTTCGGGCACCTGTTCAGAATAAAAAATCTTTTAGTGTTGAATCACTTTGTGATATCCGTTCCATATGCAGATCATAAAACATCACGCTGTGCCAAAAAGAAGCAAAGCAGCGCATGAAACCGCGCGGGATTAATTAACTTATAAGATCCTAAAATTCCCGTTAGTGAATTTACGAAGAAATAACTTAGGTACATACCTATGGATTTGTATAGTTTTTAACATATAGTTGTAATTTAATCATAATTTTATATTTTTGTAGAAGTACTGGCAGAGGCTGAATATCTAAGCGTTGACCCTTACATGAGAGCTTATATGATAGGCTATAAATTGCCTACTGATATGATTGGCGGACAAGTTGCAAAGTGGGTTTCTTGTCGATTTAGTTATTTGTATATGCAAACTTTGTTTGACCATATTTCAAAGGTTTAACTAAGTGGTTTCTTACTTCAGAATTATATCGAGTCGGAACAAAAACTATGCTGTTGGGAAATATTTAGCTGGATCTTTTGGGTGGCGTACTCATACTATTGTAAAACCTGATGATTTTAATACTCCGGCGGGTTTCATACCTGTTACACTTCTACCTGATTTCGGAACACACCCCGTGTCACTGGGCTTAGGCGTTCTCGGAATGCCCGGGTAAGTTAAGTTAAGCATTCACTCATGATTCGCGTTATATTTTTGTATTCTAATGCCATGTGCATTAGTAACTGGTGAATAGTGGACCTATTTGTGAAATTTCAAGCAAAACGGACAGGCACTTCTTATATATACCCCAAATAATGATGACAACGAATATCATATGTTTATGTATGATGATCTATCGTTACAGAAACACAGCTTACTTCGGTGTAAAAGAGATATGTAAACCTAAACCCGGTGAGACGATTGTAATTACTGGCGGCGCTGGTGCTGTTGGATCACATGTGGGGCAAATTGGCAAAATATTGGGTGAAGTTTAAATAAATTAATTTTCAAATTACCGCGTTGTTCGTTTTTGTCCTAATGTTTTTTTCCTTTTAGGTTGTCGTGTTGTTGGCTTTGCGGGAACCGATGAAAAGTGTGAATATTTGGAAAAGGAACTAGGCTTTGATCGGGCTTTCAACTACAAAACCGTAGATATCAGAGCTGCCCTTAAAGATGGTTGTCCTAAAAGAGTTGACTGTTACTTTGATAATGTGAGTTTTTAAAATTATCTATACTCTTTGATTCACTCTTCGTTGATGTAGTGACTACAAACGAGAACTACTAATTGTTGTTCCAATGTGCGTCTGGTAGATCATTTTAAAGTATTCACACACAATATTCTAGCTGACAGATTAAATAGATTTTAATTTTCATACCCTATTGTCAAACTTACTGTAAATGTAAAAATGACTAGCCACTTTTTATCATTACTATTTTTCATCAGGTCGGTGGTGAAATCAGTACGACTATTATGTCTCACATGAACAAATATGGTAGAGTCGCCGTTTGTGGTTCCATTTCGTCATACAATGATATGAAACTACCAAAAGGTTTGTATTTAAAAAGGGTTTCTATTTATTCAGATTATTCAGAAGAATAACATTACTGTGCATTAGCATAGTTTAGGTACCGTATGGAATGTCTCTAATTTGGGTAACAGCGAGATGTAAATTAAAATTACGGCCTCTTTTTCAGTAACAATTCTGCAACCTGCTATCGTTTTCAAGGAATTGAAAGTAGAAGGATTTCTTGTAAATCGGTGGACCGATCGATGGAATGAAGGAATCAAAGCAAATTTGAAATGGCTTAATGAAGGAAAATTAAAGTATCAAGAGAAAGTGTACCACGGTTTTGATAACATGGTAGATGCTCTCGTGGGTATGCTGAGAGGAGAGAATACAGGGAAAGCTGTCGTTAAAGTTAAATAATTCATTTTAATAAATAATTGTTAATCGTTATTCAATTTACGAACGTTGTAAAAAGCAAAGTGCCATTCACTGTTTGTTTATAAATATTATTTTCTTCGACTTGAATTTTTTTATCAAATTGTATTACCTATTTATTTTTCATTCATTCATTGCCAATTTGTTCCGTACCATAAAGTAAAATTAAGGCTCAAAACTAGACGACGATGAACGACAATATCGATTATATTTTGCAATGGTCTTAGTCGATTAAATTATTTAATGCTTAATTACGATGGTTCTTACTAAGTAGTTTTTAACTGCAATTTAATTGAGAAATGTACTGATTAAACTTAATTATAAATTAATTATTAACGTTACTAGTTTCCCAGCATAAGTTAGTTCAATATAAAATATAGGTAATTTGAGTTATTAAAAAGAAATCCAAGGAGTTTTCAATGCTAAGCAGCAGTGCAACGTCATCTATTTTAAATAGAAGGAATAAGATAATAAGACTTGTGGTTGAAATGCAATTGTTGAGTACCTATGAGATCTCAGGTTTTGAACCTGACCAATTTTTTATGTAGGTATTTTTTTGTAGGTAGGTATTTGGAAATGTACACGATGACTATCTCATCTAATAACGAAATGAGGGTAAACGTATATAATAATTTTTAGTATATATACCACAGAATTAATGCTTATACTTCCATTTTGTTATCGGAGTTCGGAGAGTAAAATAAGTTTTAAAAAATTAAGCAGTTTGTAAGCTTATACTACCTGCACACTACGTATTTCTTTAGTTTCAAACAAATTAGAAACTATCCGGTAATAAAATGTTGCACAAAATGGTTCCAACGTGTAATTTTGCCAGACGAATGTATTCAGCAGCTGCTGGAAAAGTTAAAGCACAGAAGTATGTACTTACAAAGTATTTTCAAGGGGAGCCGAAGAAATCTGATTTCAAAATTGTCGAAGAGGAACTTCCGGAGTTAAAAGAAGGGGGTATGTATTATTTTAACATGGCATATTTCTTGACTAAAACGGGATTATAACCAGACTTTCATCGAGGTCGCGCGATCAACTAACAAATGTGCGTACTTTTATGGTGTTTCATTTGAATAGGTCTAATGTCCATTTGGTTATACAGTGAGGGCCCAGTTACCAGAGATGGGCATTTTCTTTTTCGTCATGTCGGTACCTACAACAAAAGTACGAAGTACCCAGTGCAAGAACTACGATTTGTCTGGGATGTACACTGGACACAAATTGTAATTACATTATCTTTATTTGCAGAAGTACTGGCGGAGACTGAATATATAAGTGTGGACCCATACATGAGGATATACATGAATAACCGTAAATTACCTACGGATATGATCGGTGGACAAGTAGCAAAGTGAGTAAAATGTTCTAATCACGACAACCGCGATTGGATGATCGAATTTTGGCTAGTGAGTATCTATCCTTAGGACCGAAACTTTCTTGTTTTAATGTGGTGACCGTTTCTAATTTCAGAATTATATCGAGTCGGAACCAAAAATATCCTGTTGGGAAATACGTATCAGGATATTTCGGATGGCGCACACATGCTATTCTTAACCCTGATGCCCGTATTACTCAACCTGGTTTTGTACCTGTCACAGTTGTGCCTGATTTAGGAGCACATTCTGTATCCCTCAGTTTAGGAGTCCTCGGTATGCCAGGGTAAGTATATCTAAGTATCAAATTGTTTGGGCAAAAGATGCAGATAAAAATGAGCCAGTTACAATAGGCCTGTGGAGTAAAATAATTAAATCTTGACTGTTAAGCTTTAAGCATATGCGTTTATCAGATGCTTTAGCGATGTTCAGATTATTTATGTACGACGAATATGTTACAGAAATACAGCATACTTCGGTATAAGAGAGATTATTAAGCCTAAACCTGGTCAGACAATTGTAATTTCTGGCGCCGGTGGTGCTGTTGGATCACACGTGGGACAAATTGGCAAAATAGTGGGTAAGTTCAGTTTTTGAGATCCATTGCTAGACCTATACACTATCCCACCCTGGTTTTCGGTACCTATATGGATATTGTTATAGAATAAAATTATTGCGTTTTAAGACCATTTTTTTTCTCAAAATTAATACAATTCACTTATGAGAAATATTTAACCGGTGTTTAAAAATTTAAAGTTATGTTTTAGAAATGTAGGTATTTGTAAAAAATATTGTTTGAGAATCTAATTCAATAGTCGGTAGAAAGTTAAATATTGTTGTGGGTGGAATGAAACATTATCAATTATTAAGTTTACTAAATTTTCTTTTTCAGGTTGTCGTGTTGTTGGCTTTGCGGGAAGTGATGAAAAATGTGAATATTTAGAAAAAGAACTAGGCTTTGATCGCGCTTTTAACTATAAAACCGTCGACATCAGAGCTGCTCTTAAAGATAGTTGTCCTGAAAAAGTGGATTGTTACTTTGACAATGTAAGTTTTAATTGTATTCCATAATTCTATTTGTTGAACTTGAAATAACTGTACTGTGTGAAAATACTACCTTCTATTACTACGTGTATTCGATCTTTTTTTGTTGAGTGGGTGGTTGGGCATTTTAGCGAGACGTAATAGGTACTTACCTAAATTTAGTTCCGTGCTCCGGTGAAATATGTGATGGGACAGACGAGGCAAAACATTAATAATTATTAAACTATTTATTAAACTTTCTTGTATGTAGGTGGGCGGTGAAATTAGTGCAACCATAATGGATTACATGAACAAATATGGAAGAGTCGGTGTCTGTGGCACTATTTCATCGTACAGTGAGGAGACACTACCAAAAGGTTTATATTTAACGTCTTTTTATCTAATCTATTCATACTGTTAAATAATCTTAGATCACCGATTTGATGACATGGGACAGCCATGTTTCGGCAAAAATTGTATGTATGATCTGATTTCTTAGAAACACTACCGTAACTACTTTTTATTTAATCAATAAAAATTCGAGGAGATTCTCGGGTTCTATAGGAACTAGTTGGATAATACAACTTACGCTAACCTACCCTTTTTACGCGTAACATTTCACTACTTTACGCAATTTGTTGCTAATTATAACAATTTGTTTCAGTAACGATTATGCAACCAGTAATCGTTTCCAAGGAATTGACAGTAGAAGGATTTAACGTAAACCGTTGGACCGATCGGTGGAATGAAGGAATCCAAAAGAATTTGAACTGGCTTAATGAAGGAAAATTAAAGTATCATGAGAAAGTGTACCACGGTTTTGACAACATGGTAGATGCTTTCGTGGGTATGCTGAGAGGAGATAATATAGGGAAGGCTGTCGTTAAAGTTAAATAATTAATTTTAATGTCTTTTATATTTAATAATTTATTGAAAAATAAGCGATGTGCTAGCCACTGTCTTATAATTAATAAATGTTATTTTCGTTAACTTCATTTTATTTATTTTAACAAACTTGGGTTGTCCTTTTCGATTTCCCAGTTGGAAGCAAGGCTGGAACGAATCCTTTTACGGGTTTTTTTCAAAAAAAATCTAGTGCCTAACACGTAGTATGGTATTGCGCCTGGTGTATGGCGATACCCACATCGTACTTATATAAAAGGCACCTACATGGTATTCATAAACAAAGGTTTTGTTGCATTGTTTATGTACATACTTAATATGACCCAATATGCGAGTAAGTACCCCATTTCAGAACTGCAAGCGTGATCCTTATATAATCTGGATTACATATTACACTAGCAGCCCGTCCCGGCTTCACACAGGGTAGACAATTACCTATTTATTTTTGGAAATTTGGATTGCTGTAGTGACATGACTACAATAGTTTGACATATTCTCCCGCGGAGTTTTTTGTAAACATTAGGATGTTCTTCAATATTGTTGTACATTATTTTGTTCTATCGCTAATAGTTTCGGCAGCGCATTCGACGAAAGACATTTTAAGACTCATTTTTCTACATATTCGGTTACATTGTTCAAATTTTATCAAGGATCCCTAATTTTTTTCAAATTGAAATGGAGCCTATGTCAAATTGAAAGAATGTAGCATTCTATTGGTGAAAGATTTTTTTAAATCGGCCCAGTACTTTTTGAGCTTAATAATTACAACCATACAAAAATAGGTACAAATCTTTGCTCTTTATAATATTAGTATAGAAGTATAGATTACAGTAGTCGATGGTGAGCTAAATATTCTGTTAGTCAATTCATCGATCAAATCAATTTAAAAAGTTAATCTATACAAAGACAACATTTCAAACGTCAAAAATTCAAAACAAAAACAAAGTACCTATTGTGTGTCAATATTATTTATTTGAAAACGGAATTGAGAGCGAGAAACTTTGCAAGTGGATACCCAAATACAGTTTTATTGAAAATAATAAAAATAAAAAAAAATAAAAATGACTCTTTCGAAGGTTTTAGCAACATATTCAAAAGATTCTGGAAATTCTGTTTATGTACAGAGCTATGAATCTCCTGTCGGCAAAGCTATCGCAGCAGCTGACGAAGATTTTTTATACGCAGTAACTTTTGAGAATTCTAAAAACTTTGAAAAATGTTTCGAAACACTTGCTAAAGAACTTTCATGCAGTTTTATCGAAAGTGAGAACAAAATATTGAAGAGATTTGGAAAAGAACTATCTGACTACTTTGAAGGTAAACTAAAAAAGTTCACAGTGCCTACTAAAATGATTGGTTCAGAGTTTCAGAAGGTTTGTATAAGTATTTAATTTATTTAATTTAATTGGTATTTATCAATCTGATATTGTGACTACAGTTCTAATTTACAGATAAAATTGGTATTGTGTCAAATCCTATCTTACTGTAAAATTATCCACCAGATTTGTTAGTAATTTATCCACATATATCAATTGATAATAATTGTAATACCTATATTAATAAATTTTAATACTATGTTTACAGATTGTATGGGAGAAATTAATGGAACTGCCATATGGATCAACACAAACTTATGGTGATTTAGCAAAAGATTTGGGCCGTCCCTCAAGCCATTCCAGGGCCATCGGAGCAGCCTGTGGTGCAAACTCTTTACTAATAGTAGTGCCGTGTCACAGACTTGTAGCTTCAGGATCCAAAGGAGGATATAATAGTGGAGTGGATCGCAAAGATAAACTCATTGAATTAGAAAAGACATTTTCTTGAATTATTATATTTTAAGTTTTTACTTAAAAGATATTAAACTACCTCAAAGAATGTCTACGATTAAAAAATGATGGAAATGTAATGACTTTAATATGTTGAACTTGAAAAAATTTGCTATCTTAAAAAAAATTGCACCTACTTTACAATAATATTTAGATAAGCACACAACTGCAGGAAGGCAAAATAGTTAAATGCTTAGGCATATGGACAATTACAAAGCAGTTGCGAGAACTGGCAACCTATGACATAATAATATGCAACTTCATTTCTGTATATATCTTTCTCTATACTAATCTTATAAATGGTCTGTCTGTCTGTATGTTTGTCTTTCTTTCACGACGAATTGACGTGATTTTTAAGTGGAGATAGTTGAAGGTATGGAAAGTAACATGAGAGGCTACTTTTTGCCCCTTTCCAACACCCCACTTCCCTAAAATGGGGGGTGGAAGTTTGTATGGAGCACTCTGCAATTTTCAAGGTAGGAAGCTAAAAATTAGTATGCTCACTACCGAACAAATCACCTGTATTTTTTATTAAATCTGCACTCAACCCCTTAAGAGGGGGTGAAATTTTATATTCTTAGTTTTCAAAGCAGGAAGCTAAAATCGGCACATATACTATTTGTTAATAACGAAAATACCTGCCATTTTTTTAAAATTCTCTCCCAGATAAAGGAGAAAATAAAGGATGGAAATGTGTGTGAGACTCCGCAAAATTAGTACAGGTTCTAACTACAATTTTGCAATGACTATTAACAAAGCGCAAGGATAAACATTAAAGGTGCTGGGGCGAACTTAGACAAGCCGTGCTATTCAAATAGACAGCTGTATGTAGCATGTTCGCGTGTGTCCAAGTCCCAGAACCTTTTTATTATGATGCCAAATAGAAAGCCATATGATACAGTGTATAGTAGTGTGTTAAAATAAAATAAATAACGTGTAAAATTCTGTTCTGAGTGCTCTTTTGTGTATAAGAAAGGCAACCGTGCTGCCCCGAATTTAACGCGAGTGAAGCCGTGGGCAAAAGCTATTTTGTCATATTATGATTAATATGACAAAATAGCTTTTGCCCGCGGCTATTATATTAATAATAAGTGTTATAACTGATTGTTTTTATTGTAAGTGTTATCAACACATCAAGTACAAAATATGTACCTATAAAGTGTTTCAATACATACTAAAAACGTTACCTACATTTGTTTTTATTAAAACCTATAGTGATACTCGCCAAGATTTGGATAAAGTGTATACTTGACCTGCAATAATAATAATCATAACAAAGTGCCACGCGTTTTGATCTCCTAAGTGGTAGGCATAAACAAACAATGTAATCAAAGGGAGGGAGGGTGAGGTCGTAAAAACGATTAAGTACAAATACCATGCCACTAAAACGAATTTCGGAAAGACTGAAATCACCCAAATAATTCTTTCAATATAACAAGAGTCGGTGCTCAAGTATATAGTAGGCATTTTTCTGGAGATTTCTGGTACCTTTGATAACGCATGGTGGCCAATGTTACTCTTTAAAACTGAAAGGTCATGGTTGTTTTAGTACATAACTATACACTGATATAAGTACACGTATTTCCTTCACGGTATCATTAAACTAAAGCTTGGTCATTGTTCTCGAAGACATTATCAATGGAATTTAGGGTTTGCTCCCGATTCTCCTTCCTTGTGGCTATACTTTGAAAGGACATCATCCGGGCCTTTTGCTAGTACATTCAAATACCCGCGCCGGCTGGAGAATTTGGCTATTTAAAGACTGTCTCAGGCAGGAGGATCTCGCGATGGAGCAAACGAAATCGCTTGACTTTTGCACCCCATAAAACTTACCAGCTATTGCTTAAAGGAAATCTAAAGTCTTAGCCGTCTATTAAATTCAACAACGTTTTCGTTAAACGAAAGGAGTCTGTTTACTATCTCGGTTTAGTTTTGGAAAAAAACATGCTATTAGTGAGAAAGCCAAAAATAACTTCTATGCGCTGACGCAAATTGCAAAAGTCACCTGTACAATGCGAGACCTAATTTGTCAGCAAGCTTTCTAACACAACGTATCCAAATAAAAGTGGTAGATTGTTTAAGCCATAAATTGACGTTTGGGATGAGTTTATTATAACTGAATGGCAGTGTAGATGGGAATCTTCTATTAAGCGCCGCCCTATGTTTATACTACCGCCGCCGCCGCACGCCACCATATGGACTAAAGGATTTACAATAAAACAAACAAATAATAATTACTAAAGCCGTGCGAAGCCGAGACGGGCCGCTAGTTGTAGGTATATTATAACAATGTGTTCTACTTATTACCTAGTTCTTATCGATAATTTCAATTAGTAATGTCCGATCTCTATCCGAAAGTTATTCATGGGAGCGCTTAGAGGAATAAAACGGGAGCGCTTAGATGGGCGCGCTTCAAAACGGGAGCGCTACGAGGAATACCTCAAACTTCCGTGGTGGTTGGCGACTGGGCTTCACCCAGTTGTACAATCTCTTTTTTTTCTTAATTTATTCTATCTCCTGCAGTCACCGAGGGAAGTGGAAACTAACGTTTTTTTTCTTCTCCTCTTATCTTCTCATTCACTCCGTTGCGGGAACCAAAGCAGTTATTTATGTCTCTGGGACGCGCCGGACTTCAGTGTTCCGGTGTTTTCATAGTTGTATCTACTGTAGATCCTGGCTTGGCCTGGCAGGAGTTGCAGCGGTTTTGGAAGGTTGTACTAGCGGGCTTGTCCCATAATATTGCCGGATAGTCGCAGCAGTGTATAGAAATTACGTCGGTACGTGTGAAAGCTACATTATCTACATGGCCATTCAGTGCGCCGCCGGGTATCCGGCGCCGTATACCCGGCAACTGGAACGTGTGGGTGTGAAATGGCACTCAGTCCGTACCTGATTAGCGATAAATATTCGATCAAAATCGCGTCGTCTGATTATGGGTAGCTATAGATAAGTAGTTTAGCATTCTCCTAAAAGTTAAACGTTTTGTGTCCTTAATCATTGAATAATCACTGAAGAATTGTCTTTCCAAAAGTGAAAAAGGTGTATACCTACTTAGGTGCCTACTGTTACTGCATAACATTTTTCGGTATCCGGCTAGTATTGCCATCGTAAGTACCTAATATTAAATGTTAAACATCGATTATAAGTTGTAACTCTGATTAGAAGATTACAACACACGCCATGACCTTAATGTTATAGGTAGTTGAACATAAATATAATGTGCTAATAAAATTAAACGGTCTATAATCATTATTACTTTGTTTTAATGTTAAGTTCACATGAATACACTTGAAAACATAATTGACTAAGCACCTAGGTTAAGGTTACTTTGGTCACTTTGACATAATTATATTTTATTCTATGTTCTACTTAGAGTACCTATTAATTAATCTAAGATGGTCTACATACTTTCTGATTATAATTTCTTTTATTTTTTATAATGCGTACCTACATAATAATATGTAGAACAATATAATTAATTTACACTTTGTAGCAAAATAATAGTGTATGTTACTACCACAGAGGCAATAGAAACTAAAAGCGAATAATTTAGTGCGAAGAAATTAGACATGTTGAAGCATATGGGCCGGGCTTGTAGCAGCGTCCTCAAATCCAGTATGGCAGGTTTTAGATCTTCATCTGTTGAAGAAAATGATCATTTTACATCCATGTAGTTTGTCTAATCATAATTACTTTATACTTACCTATAGAAAAATCGGCTTCGGGCTTAGTGCGAGTTGCACTTGATATGGGAGGTTCCATGTGTATTTAACATTATCTAAATGATAAAGTATTACTAAAAATCATGTTTTTGTCCGGTAATACTTAGCTTTACCTTAGGTATAAAAACCGCATCAAAATCGGTTCAGCCAATCACGAGATAGATAGATTGTGCACATACACAATTATATTGTATAGGTAGCGTCATCCTCGCTAATTATACTAGTAGTAGGCACTAATCTGGGCACGCTGTCACAATATTTAAAGATGAACACATTCATAAAAAAAATATTTATACTCTATGGTCATCTCACTGGCAACATCTAGTGATGTGCCAACTCGGAAAAAACAAAACTCGATTTAACTCGAGTTAAAATCCACGTAACCCGGTTTGAACTCGAATTACGTAACTCGAGTTAACTGAAGGGACCAGTGAATGTTTTTTTGAGTGTTTTCCTTATTATTCCCTCAGCTTGGCATAAATACTTTAAAAAATTGGAACAGACAAATTATATTTTTATCTGTTTCAATTCTATATTTTTTATATTATTTATTTATAATGTATTGGGAGAGTTATACCTACTAACTAAAGAAACAAAAAAGTTATTGTTTGAAATCGAATCATTTAGTTAAGTATTTTTGGCTCGAATTTTAATTAAAAATAATATTTACTATCAGTTAAACTATGAAATTATATAGCAGTCTTTTTAAAATAAAATCAGACTAACATTATGATGCAAGTATGTACATAGGTACATTTACAGGCTCATAATTGTTTTATAATCAGTAATCACAATATTTTAAAAGAAAATAAAATAATTAGTATCACAAACAATATTTTTTCCTTAGTTAAATTATATATTATATTTTTGTCTTAAATATATCGTAGGTACTAGGTACTATAAAGGAAAATGTCAAATGATTTTAAAACAAAAAGAAAAATATTTTCCCGGCAATTATTCGGTTTTCGAACTCGAGTTAGAGAGAATTCAACTCGAGTGGATTCGAGTTACGTCCAACTCGAGTTGACTCGAGTTAGGTACTCGAGTTAACCATCACTAGTAACATCATTGTACTTCTTTGTGCACGACCTGTCACGTCGTACCCTGGAAAATTTTTCAATTTAATTTGGTGATTTTCCTACTAAATGGGTCGAAAACGTCGCAAGCAGATAGGAAAACTGATGGAGTGTATGCAGGAATTGGATAATTGGGCGAAACCGGCGAGAGGACGCATTCGTTGTCGTCAGTTTGGTAAGTTTTTTCTTGTAGGTACTTACACCACATTGTGGGGCGTTTTCCAATAGCTTCCACAAGCGGATAGCCTTGAGAATGATTGTGTACGCAACATACACACTTGAAACGTACCATAAGAGCCCTCAGGAGAGGTGAGCCATTGGTTATACGTTTTCTATATACCTAGATTAAACCACAAGAGCCTTCACGAGAGGTCGGCCGTTGGTTACACGTTTACTATAGATCGAAACCACAAGAGCCTTCACGAGAGGTTGGCCGTTGGTTACATGTTTACTATAGATTAAACCACAAGAGCCTTCACGAGAGGTTGGCCGTTGGTTACATGTTTACTATAGATCGAACCACAAGAGCCTTCACGAGAGGTTGGCCGTTGGTTACATGTTTACTATAGATCGAACCACAAGAGCCTTCACGAGAGGTTGGCCGTTGGTTACATGTTTACTATAGATCGAACCACAAGAGCCTTCACGAGAGGTTGGCCGTTGGTTACATGTTTACTGTAGATCGAACCACAAGAGCCTTCACGAGAGGTTGGCCGTTGGTAACTCTACTATAGAATTAACCACAAGAGCTTTCACGAGAGGTTAGCCATTGGTTTACTTGACTTTGGAACGAACCACAAGAGCTTTCACGAGAGGTCAGCCGTTGGTTACTTGACTTTGAAGCAAACCACAAGAGCTTTCACGAGAGGTTAGCCACGGGTTTAAGTCACATTTAGTCAAACATTTCCAACTGCAATCCTAGAGCTTTCACGAGAGGTTAGCCGTGGATCATTTAAACTACCTTGCAGTTAGAAACTTAAAATCAGTTCGCTTTGCCTCAGAAGAACATGAAGCCATTCCAGTTGAAGCCGCTCACCATGGCATGGCACCGAAGCCAATCAACATGAGTTGGAAACTACTCCTATAGTCTCGCTCCAGTCAGTAAATATACTCCGGAGCAATTGCTACCTATGCTTATGGGAAATGGGACATTTCCTTAGCCAGCTATTCCATAGTGTTGCATGTTGGACAAAGCCATTCTTATCAAATGATTACACTTATTTTCCCTTTTCATAATTATTATAACCTAATTCCTCCCAATGTCTCAAATAAATGAGGAGGGGAGGAGGTGCCACTAAATAAAGATGGGATTGAGTGAGACGATAGGATTGTGAATATCAAATGACTCTAGGAGCAGTTACTGTTCGCAAATTAATTAACAAACCTATTAAAGATTTTAAGGATACAGCCAGACTGCTCTGTAAATTATTAACATGTGCCCCTGAATGAAGATCAGAACACAAATAGGTGTTCTAGCTATATATACAGTAATAAATAGTGCTTCAAGACAAGTTTATTGCAAGTAAAGCTATCAGAGAGTCTAAACTTGAATTGGAGAACATCCAAGAAAACCTTTTAGACTACCAACTTCATGCCAACCACATCAACAAACACTGTGTGATGTACAAACAACAAGTGTGTGTGTGTGTGTGTGTGTGAGCAAAAACCAAAACTAAAGCGAACACATGATTACAAGAAAATCAACAAGGCCGATGCATCCTCTACAGAATTTCTAATTCTACCCACAGCACTGAGGTCCGGATCATCGCTAGTACAGGTAGATCACATTACCTTTCTGAACAATAGAGTTCTGCTTTAGGTTTCCCAACCATACTTAGTTGGATTAATAGGTATAAATTACCATCACTGATATTCCTGTTCAGACAAATATACCACAAAATACCCACATAGGTGTAAAAGCAAAATAATTTTACTTCTGAAGGAAAATTGTTAAAGCTAAGGTGCTGTACTGTACCATATATGTAGATAACTGACTAAGTGATTACTTGCCAGTTTATCTTCACATTCCAGAACAAATGGTCCTTCAGGCAATTAAATAATTAAGGACTATAATAAATTATGTTACTATTAATATAAACAATGGATCTAGAACCATTTCTAAAACTCCTCATATGTTGAAGTGTCTTCAGATGCATGATCAACTTAAGAATGCATTTTATTTAATATCAGTGAAGGAAAATGGTGAATGACAAACATTTGCGGTTCTTATTTGTCTTCCCAAAGAGTAACCTTATACATTGTATAGTATTGATTACACGAAATTATGTTGATGATATTCCTTAATTTTGCAGAACATAAGAAATGTCTAGACTATATTACTAATACAGAACCTTACAGAAGTATTCTTGTAAACTTGGTATAGTATTAAATATTATTTATACTGAAAAGGGTGATTCTTTCAGTATATAGGATTAATTTCTTACTCTAGACAACTCTATATAAGTGCCACTTAAAAAGGTGGATTTTATTACAAGTATAATGAAAATTGTATGACCTAAACAAAAAGTTGCAGATTTTTGATTCCGTTCAACTTTAAAGTTAACATTGTTTGCTCGCCCAGCTATGGAATTTGGCTGGCTCCATGTTAAAATTAGGTTAATAATTGAAATTGTAAGGCCAATATAATAACTATTAAGCGAATACGCACAACAAAATATTCACTGTAAACAATATTTACGTTTGTTTGACATGTTGACATTAAAACATCAGATGTCAAATACGTTCTGTTTTACCAAAAAGAACTTGAACACTTGTTATTTAAGTTAATCTAGAATAAATGTTTACACCTTAAAAGAAAATAAGGCCGGTAAAGAAATACCTAAATAAACTCAGATGTCCCATTCGCACGAGTTTAAATCAAAGTTTGCCTCCAAAACCACTTGGTGTATCACGCCAAAGATCTATAGGCAAACAAGTATAAGAGACTGAAATATATGTATCATGGGTTCCTGACCCTGATATCTTTACTGTTGTTTTCACTATTCAGTAAGTGCAGGAAGATTCTTTTTCCATGCCCTCCTTCTTTTCGGAATTTTAAAAGTCATAAAGAGATAAAGGGGGGGGGGGTATATGCAAAGGTTATTAGGATCCATTATTGATACCCACGGTTCAACTCAAGTTTCTGAACCTCATTAAGTTCTAGTGTTATCTCTGGTTGTTTCCTTCCAGAAGTTCACCCACTTTACACAACATATACAATGTAGTCACCACCATATAATCAGGAATGAATTCCTAAGAAAAGGAATAGGTACTGCATTCTATGGGAATAATGCTAGCATCACATTGTAAAGTAAAACAAAACAGCAATACGACTTTGCTTTGACTTTTTCAGCATATGTATCCGTTGTGATTATTATATTTTTACTTCTAAATTTACCTATCATACAGTTTATTGAATACTATTAGATAGGTACTTCATTAGTCCTAGGTCCTCTTGTGTGAAATTATTAAGAAACTACCTACAAGATTTTTTAGAAGTGTATACAAATTAAGGCCAAAAAGAAAAAGAAACTTTAATATGTGGTGTGCGGTTCCAGTTTTATTCTAAAATAGGTACATAATTGTGTATTATTACAATTATTATTTAAAACCCTGAGGGTTACTGGTAGAATATGCCACTTGGAATCAAGTTCACCATGTACCGTAACTTTATTGTATTGTGTACATGACAATCTAAATAAATCAATATTATTATGTACCTGTATGTACTCCAATGATAATCTTAGCTTAAAACTTTAGTTTAAAACATCAATTAATTAGCACATATAATTCACACTATCTCTATCACTATAGATTGTACCTAAATGATAATGCCAATAAACCTGAACCATATTTAATAGTACCTACCTACCTACTATTTTTTATTTTTAAGAACAATTTTTAAATCATTGTTCTGGGATCAATCATATTCTACAATTTCAAGTGAATGTATGTCTAGTACTATAACAGTGGACTCTCAACCTCTTCTAAAGCCTCACAGAGATGTATCAATCAGTATCAAAGTCATATATTTAAGTAAGACGACTGCCTGGTCAGTCAATCCATTTTTCCACCAACAATCCTAATATTGCATGAGCTTATTAGCTCTGTATATCACTATGTATGGAGTCATGATCATAATGTAGATCTACTGAAAATGGAGAAGTTAGATAATATATATACAAAAAAAAAAAAAAAAAAAAGAAACTGATAATTTTGAAGAAAACAACCTATTGAAAGACGTTAAATTTTCGCAATAGACTGAATTTGAACAACGTTATAGTTCAAAACGTACATAGTAGGTGTACCTATAGTTGGTGTAGTGGACACCAGAATTTCAAGATAATAATATTGTTGCTATGCTTACTAAATAATTAAATTAATAAATAAGGACATTTAATTATTTTTCCATCACAATACATAATGATGTAGATCTTAATATTAATCTTATAATATTGACATAAGCTTGTTTCTTCTCTTCACTTCACTTTGGTTCTACATAGGGTTAATGCAGTTTACCTGACAATACAATGATGAAAGTCAGGAACCCAAACTAAGATAACCCGTGCTTTGGGCTTCTGTTTATTTTTAATACTATTTTTAAAATGTATTTAATTTTATAAGTATTTTTATTTGATAAAAATGATTGAAAACAATACCATAACCATAAGTAGCTATTATATCTAATAATGGTTTAGTGGCTTACATCTTGGGGAAATTATAAACGTAATTTGATTATTGCTTAAGTTTTTACTAGTACTATATAGTACTCGTGAGATATTGATGTTATTGACAATGTCATATATCTTGTTTAAGTGCAACAATGTTCAATGATTAAACAGTGTTGTTTGTCAACACAACTCCTTCTTTGAACGTCTACTAGTATAATTAGCGAGGATGACGCTACCTATACAATTAAATAGATCGGACTAACTTACCTGTGACGTCCGATCCTCAATTGTGTAGGTAGCGTCATCCTCGCTAGGTCCCAACCCTTCCCGGATAATAAACATGTTTATTTTTACCCCTGGTCGAGTTGTGTTGCAGTTGCAGGTGCTTTGAAGTAAATGATGTTGCCAGTGAGATGACCATAGAGTATAAATATTTTTTTTATGAATGTGTTCATCTTTAAATATTGTGACAGCGTGCCCAGATTAGTGCCTACTACTAGTATAATTAGCGAGGATGACGCTACCTACACAATTGAGGATCGGACGTCACAGGTAAGTTAGTCCGATCTATTTAATTATACACAAAATAATAATGTAGTTATGTACATACATACAAATATTATTATAAATAATAATACATACCTAACTGCACTATTATTTTGTGTCACAGGTATACCTATATGGATTAGATGAATAGGTACCTACGCGGTACGCGTCTTATGAAATCTTAACTTTACCTGGCCTTTTGTTTAATATAAGATGGTCGATCACATTGATGATGCGCTCTCTTTGTCTATAGGTTTGTTCACACTGATCTACTAAAGTAATTACAATTGTAGCGCAGGTTACAAAACGCATTAAGCCCGTAAATCCCGGTAAATAATTATAGTTGTCGCCATTATAAAGAGTCTTCTGTAAAGAAAATGAAACAGATTAGGATAACTCAAAGTACCGCAGCATGCATAGGGCAGAATATTAAACCAAAGAATTTAAGAGGATGAGGTCAAGAGGCGTACCTACCTAATGTCGTGATGGCCGGGAGGTTTGTGAAGCCCGCTTCTCATGCATGAGAGTTCAAAACCAACGGCAAGTACCGATGTGACTTTTTCCGAGTTATAAGTATGTACTTTCTACGATTATTTAGACACCACAGACAAACGATGAAGGAAAACATCGTGAGTTATAATTTCTAATTATAAGTTTGATATCGCCAAACCGTATTGAGTAAATCTTTCCGTGCGTGAAGAGGCCTTTAGTCAGCATTGGCCACTTATAGGCTGTTGGTGATGATAGGGCAGAAGTGGGAATATAGTAGAAGATCAGTAGGTAAGTCTGACAGATCCTCACATTTCACCCAAGGCGGCACAAAATTGGATTCGAATATGACACGACGGAAAAGTAATCAGAATTTAAATAATAATACAGGTATTTACGTTCTTATGACTAACCTGAGAACCGACGGTGATTCTGATTGCCAAATTCAATATTTTGACCATGTCCAGGAGTAGATTTAAAGTGTTTAGCAGAACCTGAAAGTTTATGAACATATTGTTATTTTATTACTTTATTAGTAGAGAGACATTTTGCATTGTTAATGAATCATGTAATTTTTTTTCTGCAAATAAGTTATAAGGCAGCACTTTTATACATCCATTTTATTACACCGACGATGAGGCCGATAGTTTTAATGTCTAAAAGTCAAGTTGATTCATTTGATTTAGGTTAGTTATTTACTAGTCCCTACTCTTTATCTGGAATTGAGGAAGAGAGGCATAATATTGGACAGCACAAGTTTCATGCACTGCATCAATAATGACAAGTAGGTTATAATACTACAGGAATTTTGTAGATACCTATATAACATGAGTTGAGTCTGAGTTTGACAGCCTCCGCCTAGGAATGAGCATAAGCTTCTTAGACTGTTGTTACTTACCCTAAATCCATACATTTTGTTAATAAACATCACTTGCTCTGTCAATAGAAGATAACACTTGCAAAGCCGCTTAATTTCATAACTATCCACTGGTCGAATTTTAGAGCTTTGTGGTGGTGGTGTCTCATCTTCGCAATACAGCCAATTTTTGTTGCGTACAGAATCTGTCAACATCCCAATCGGACACATTTCCGTACAAGTGTAGCAATTTTGAACAAAATTACTGATCATTCGAAGTCGAGCTTCTATTTGTATCACGTTGGCTATCAAGTCCAAAGTCGTCAGCATTTTAGTGTACAGGAACACAAATGAGATAATATGGACAAATGGAATCCACCATCCAAACGTTACGGCCCATGCTCCCATATCACCAAAAGAACTTAGAAACCAAATAATTGTAAAATACGTCATTATTTTAATAGTTTTTCTTCTCATCGCAGGATAACAGTTCGTGTCAAGGAAGTTATCCATTTTCTCGTACTGTTTGAAGTATTCCACGTACATGTGCCTTCCATATCTATAAACGAAGTATAAATCGATGGCATATTGGCAGTTGTCTGCAATTATCTGAACCGTGTCTGTAAGTCTAATAGAAAGATCCAGCTTATAGTAAATATAGCGTATTTTGTATGCTAAGCAATAAAAACTCACAGAACCAAGAACCGACACTGCACAGACACTTCTAACGAGAACGGACGACTTGGATCGTGTCGGATCTACATTACCGTTTAATGCGAAAATTTTTAAAATCCATATCAATGGTATCATTGACGTGTACGAATTATTTATCAAATAACCATTTTTGGGAACGTCACCGACTTTCATAGTTGGTGATTATTTTTTATGAATTATTTGTGTAAATTTCTCCGCACTAACCGACACGCTAGCGAATTGAAACTGTTTCGTTTTATTAATTTACTATGAAACGACAACGTTTACCAACATCAAACTAATGAACTGTATGAAATACCAATGTAGGTAATGGAAATAGCAATAGCTCCTTTATGTCAAGTATACAAACAGTAGGTAAGTACGTTTGTATATCTATTACATATTTTTATGCGTTAGGGTAAATATTTTATTTTATCTAAGTTGTCTCGTATGCCTTCGTATATCCCGTATCTCCTCTTTTTGATGACATAATTATTTAAAATTGGACGTTTTGGAGGATAACAAATACGATGAAATGGTTCGTTTCTATACCTAACGTGGACTAAATACCTAATGACCTAAAATTAAGTGTGTATCATTTAGGAATCATACATATGAAACAAGGGAAACAGTGGCACAAACTAGTGAAGAAAGTTATTAAAGTGTGGTTCGTGAGTGTGTGCGGGGGCAATTTCGTAGCGTCCAAACGTTGTGGTCAATTAACTGAAGGTAAACATAGGTCGGGTCCGCCCATGTTATCAGAGACTCCCACTGCGTATTTCCGCCTTTTTTAGTGTCTATCAAATGTATTACCTACTCTGCTACGTAATTAATTAGAATAAAACATTGTGATGCCTGTCTATCAAAAAATGTTTGAAGTGATCAACATTAGGTATCTCAATGTTATTTACCTAATTGTTTATATTCTAAGCCACCACAAAATTAATTTAGGTAAGTACATGCTTGAACAATGTCCTGTCTGTTTAGTGATCGTAAACAGTGCTACAGGACAGGAGGCTTATAGTTCAATTCCCTATGCGAAAAGAGTAATACCTAATACATTTTAGATTTTTGTAAATTGTCAGTGAAATAAATTTACTTATTTATAACTTTACTGGTACGAAAATATATAACATATAACATAATACTTACATAATTTTATTTGTGCATAAATTATAAAGGTAGTTAACACGCTATGAAAATATAATAGCACGAATCTAGTAAGTACCTACCTAAGTATTCACTATGGTAGGTACCTACATAGTTAGCTAGTTAATTATTTAGTTGGTGCTTGAATTTTTAAATAGGTAAGGTTGAATTGATTTAACGCTCATGAGCATTTAAATATTTACTAACGTGATGTCTATTATTTATTCATTGAATATTAAAATAGTAGAAAATTTCAATCAAGTACAACATATTAAATATACCCTCTTAATTTCAATATGATTACATAGATTAACCCGCTACCTGCTAATGACGTACAAATTATGATAAAGTGTCAATAAATTACAGCCTGCCTTCATGTTTGTAGAATTTATATGTTAAGTGTGATTTGTAATAAGTAGGTATAATTATGTAGATAGGTACTAGAAGTTTGGTGGGTAGAATAACGTCGGTATTAACGGCCATTAAATATAGGTATAAAAAAGATAGATACAGGTAGTCGAGCCAATTATTATAACAATTTAAGTCTCATTGTAGGTAAACTCGGAGTCACGGAGAACCTAACGGGTTACCGGGGCTCTGGCTCGACGTGCAGGAGAAGGAACAGGGTGGTTTTTAGTTATTAAGACTCTGACACTCCCTCCCCCATTTTCCCCCCTTAAAAAAGTGTAGGTAAACAGTGTTCACAGAAAAAAGACTTTGTTAGTCATTTACAGACTTTTCAAAACGTATTAATAGATACCTAATCACCAGTTAGGTACCAGTTCATCACTACCGTGACTGTGACCACCACTCATCGGACCTCGCCTAAAAAGTCTACGCACAATCCCCGTTTTCAAATTGTTTCATATATTATATTCAAAGATCTTTAATTTTTTCCCAAAGTTGCTTGTACTGTGTTGTTGATTTAAATGTGCCTTTTCATCTTCATTTTTTTAAAGTTGGCTTCAAAGGCTCGTATCTCATCTACGTATTTTATAAAAAATATGACTAAAGTCAATCTTGTCTATGTTTGACTGACTGACGGATTGATGGAAAAGTGACGCAAGAAGTCAAATTTGGAATTTTTAGAAGCTGTATTTTTATTATTTTCGTTAGATTAAGTTGAATTATTGAGTTAATTCCTAAATTGAAATTTATTTTGATAAATATTATGTTGTTGTTATACATCAAATGAAAAGTAGTTATAAATTAATTAAAGGTAAGATCTAAAAGTAGTGTTGTTGTAAACAGATTAAAATGAACAGTTATCTCAAGCGTAAAAGGTTATATTGGCGTCCAAAATAGAGTTAGTGCTGTGAGAATGATCAAATGTTTCATTAGACACATTAATAATAGTGAATTAATGTGGAATGTAGATTCGGCTATCATTGTGCTGGTAGTCGTGTCGGCCAATGGGTTAATCCCCAAAAGCCTCGACGTCTATCTCAGGAGGCTGGCGTTAGGTGGATGGATCAAGGGCCTGATTCAGAAGGCAGTTCTCCTAGGAACGGCACGTATCGTGTGGAGGGTTCTGTCTCTGGAGCCCTTACCACCGGTAGCTTGGATCATGCTCCCGCTACTGGTCGGCTCCTATTTTTTATATTTTTAAATATTATTTTTTATTGTGTAATTAGTATTTAAAAATGTAATTTATAGAGAATTTTAAATATATGTGAATTAAGAAGTTTATAAACATAAATTCCCACTTTAATAACATTGTTGACATTGTATAGGTACTTCCTAGGTATTTAATTTTGTATGAATGTAATATTATAGAACAAATCTACAGTTTCGAAATTTCAGATCAAATTGTTCTGAAATTTCGTAAGATCAGACAAAAGTTTCAATTTTAAATATGTAGGTAAATAAATTGTTTCCAATTGTATTACTTTTAATATATGATATTTACAGAACATTTTCTTTTTCAGTACAATGGGAGGTTGTCGTTGCAGTTACCGTACGTGTTCATTACGGACTGATGGGAAAACACACATGTTTCACTACCCCGTATTTGACAAAGTACGTTGTCATCAATGGATAACAAATGCACGGAAATTAGAATTTCTCAATTTGAAAGTTTCGCAGTTAAGGAATAGAGTTGTTTGTCAACATCATTTCAAAGATGAAAACTTTATGAACTTCAAGGTTTGTTTTTGTATTTATTCTTTGTGCGAGTTGATCAAAAGATTTAGACACTTAATGTTTTACAAACACTTTTAAATACTTTCATGCAGGCTGATATTTTCCTAAGCAATCAATAGTTTGTAGCTGACTTCATAACTACTAAAAAACCACACAAAACACTTTCAAAGTCCTCATCATATTCTATAGATGTCTAATATAAAAAAGATAAATATCGAGTTCTAGTTTCTAATTTAACTTAAATTAAATTAAGTTTTTTGGTTTTCCAGAAAGACAAACTCACATTTGATGCAGTACCTACGGAAGATGGACCCTTCTGTGATGCCAGTGAGTCAGACAAAGCAAAGGCTGAACAAGATGAAAGCAAGGTGTTCAGCATATCTCTGGATGATATTGAAAATGAATATTTAACCATTGGTGACAAAAAAGCTAATTTTTCAGTGAAATATGGTGATTTCTTAACTAATTGTGAATTAATGGACTTAAATTCCTTAAATACAACCAACCAGGCAAAGGATAACAGTCAAATTGATTTAAACGATAACACTAAACTGATACCAGTTATAACGAAAGATTTGGTTCTTCCTAAGAAACCTGTAAAATGTGTGCAACCTCAGATACGCAAAAGTACCAGAGGAAAACAACTTAAAACTTTTGAGAAGAGTGTCCCAAATAATTCTAGTGTTAAGGAGAATATAATAAATCATGATTTGTTCCAAGACACAATGCAACCTAATGTAATAGAATTAAGTAAACAAAGTGAAATACAACAATCAGACCTAGAAAGAAATGCTATAAACTTTACAATTAATGTGTCAGAAGTACCAGTTGAGTTCTCTACATCAGTATGTCAAGAAGATAAACCTGATGAAACAAAGTTTAGCATCAATCATTTAAATCAAATACAACTGATTGAAGAAAAACTCGATGAACCAAGTCATAAAGATAATCAGCCAGGTGAAACTAATCTTAATCATGAATCAAATAAAAATATCAATCAATTAGTAGCAGTTGAAATGTTAAATAAACCAAATGAGACAACCAATACCAACAGAAGTTTGCTTAAAGAAACTAAAAAGATAAAAATAATATCTGAGAAAAAGATAGTAAACCCTAGGCCTATATTTGGAAAACTAGAACCAGTGTCACCTACCAGAGTTTTAACATTTCCAAATAAAAGAAAAGTTTTTAATTCTAAGCCTACATCTGGTATAGAATTAGTGAAAGTATCAGTAGCGGAGGAAATACCAATGAGAGCAGAGAGAAACCCAGTTACTGAGACAAATTCATCAGCAGGAAACATTGTTGAAAAATTTAACAATAAGTCTGAAGTTATTGATTTAAGTGAAGGTATAACAACCACTGAAGTACCGAAAACCGTAATGATTAAAACCAGGAATGCTAATAATATAGCACCAACAACTTCATTGTTAAAGAATAAAATACCTCCAGAGAGAGTAGCTGCTATAGCAGAGAAACGAAAATTCAACATGAAATTACGAGATATAGTTGAAGACTGTTTAGACAAGTTAGATGAACCACAAAAAACTGATTACGAAAAGAGACCTACATTACAAGAAACCAGATTACTTCAAAGTAAAAAGCGACAAGTTGCGTCTCATCTCTCTGAAGAATCACAACTACCTAACGTACAAGACTATACATTGGCTTTCCTAGAAGCTAGAATGAAAAAAATGGAAAATAATTTACTTAATAAGATAGAGGAAAATTCTCAGAGAATATTGGAGTTAAAACAAGCATATGCACCGTCTAATTCTAAGAGATCTGTGCACACACAAACACAAGTTGGTGAAGATGTACATAAGAGACATTTGTATCAGGAACTGTCTAAATATTTAAGCCAAGAAGCTAACAGTTTATTGTACGAAGAACTTTTTATAAATAAATATACTAAGGATATGCCTAAATGTTCCTCTCCGAAACGACGGAAACGTAGGTGATGAATGTTGTTTGTTATGAATAAAATTAGCTAGCATAATATGATGTTGAAATACTTTAATTACATATTTATAATTATCTGATTTCAGAATTATTTCACTTTTACTAAACTTTTCCCAATGTTGTCCCCTCTGAACAAACCAATGAACGCGTCGTCAGCTGATTCAAATCCCTCGTAAATATGTTCTTTGTATTTAAGTTTTCCTTCTCGTACCCACTTTAAGTTTTGATTTATACCCTCGATTGTGCGGTCGGCAAATCTGTTTACTTGGAATCCTTCTATTTTCAGTTGTTTTCCAACAATATACCCTTGAACCATAGTTGCTGAAATACAAGATAAAATAAATTAAATAACCAATCGATTACATATTCAGAACACCTAGACAGTTATGACGGTGTGACTAGACAGAATAGCATCGTCCTATTGAACTATAATAGGTTCATAATTATACCTTTTCGTTTTTCGGGATCGGTTTCATTATAACCTGAAATAGCTCCACAGACTGCAACCCTGCCGTAGTTATTCATTTGCGACAAAACAGTGCTACTAATTTCTCCACCAACATTGTCGAAATAACAATCTACACCTTTTGGAGCAGTCTCTTTAAGAAAATCTGCTAGATTTGTTGTTTTATAGTTGCCTGCGTAGTCGAATCCTAATTCTTTGACTAGCCATTCGCACTTATCGTCACTACCAGCAAATCCAATAACTCTACATCCTGTAAAAATATATAAGTTAGATTTTTCTTTACCGAAACAGTCGCTGATTTTTTACAGAAAAGTAATTGTTTATCTAATGTACCTAGAATCTTTGCAATTTGTCCAACATGTGAGCCGACTGCTCCCGCTGCACCCGAAATCACCACTGTTTCTCCAGCTTTAGGCTGACAGATCTCTTTAAAACCGAAGTAGGCTGTATTACTGTAATTAATAGACTCGTGCAGGTAGGTACATACAATTACATACATTACGCTGATTAATCATAATTTATAGGTATAGTATAACATACCCTACTCTCCCACAAACACCAAGCGCTAGCGACACTGGCAGATCTCCAAAATCAGGTAGTTTGTAAAGATACGGTTTTTGCCCACAGAACTTCTCATTTTCGGGCTTTGTAATCGTATGGGTTCTCCACCCAAAGTGCCCCATTACCCATGATCCTACTGGGTACTCGGAATTTCTGCTTTCTATCACCCTAAAAATTTTGAGAAATTAAGCAATATCCAGTCGTAGTTAATGGTATCGCGAGGCATCTTTAGCTAAGTACATTAAATGAAAATTGCTCACTTAGCCACTTGACCACCAATCATATCACAAGGGAATGTTGCTCCAAGTTTCATTCGCTGATATGGATCCACGCTGATGAATGCTGCTTCAGCAAGAAATTCTAGAAGATGATCATAAGTAGGTATTATATCGGTAATTGCTTAGTCAGTGTTGTAGGTAGGCAGTTTAAAAGTTAATATAAACAACACTTACCATTTTCTGCAATTGCAGGAAGAACTTCTTCTACAATTTTGAAATTACTTTTATTAGGTTCTCCTACAAAAGGAGTTTGTACAACGTATTTCCTTGATAGCACCATTGTCACTTCTTGCTTTTTATTTAGTTTAGATAGTTATCAAAATATTTCACAATTTTGCTAAATATTGTGACAAATCTTGTTTTCTCTATCATCTATCTATATAACTGGAAGTTGTAGTTTTATTTGCGAAGTCGTTATCACCAAAAGGTAGGTTAGGTAAATACAATAATACCTACATTACATATGTATTTTCAATCTTATCTCTTTCCAATAGAATCACTTTTCCTTTCTTATTAATTTTAATAACCTGTTGATCAGGATATCTCTGACTACAATTTTGATAATAATTATGGAGCCTTGCTGGTAGATAGATAGTCGAAGTTGTTAGGCTAAGTAGGAAACAATATTATTGGAGAACACGTAAAATCCTTAAATAATGTAGGCAAATAAAAACTTTGATGTACATAACCTTTTATTTACTTTTCCATAGACAATGTCGTATAAGTTATCTGCAGGCCTTTCATGTTTTTTTTATCATCATTGATGACAATGGCGGGAATTCAAATCGTAGACTGTTAATTTTATGAAACAAATTCGATTTAATTAGAGTTATTGTTTCTTTTTATGTAAAAGTTCAGCGAAAGTGGTAATTTGTCTATTCATTTGGCGTAATATAGATAGCCAAGGTCTCCTATTACGGCTAAAGATAGTGACGGAGAATAACGTTATACGAATGTGACTTTGAATGTAAGCAGGTAGCTATTTATAATTTGTAGGCATGTCCAATATATTTTTTGAAAAATGACGTTACAATTTTGGGGTGATAATACCTTACGCTTGGGCTAGCAGGTAACAAAGAAATCCAAATGTATAAAACAACGATCTTTGTATAACCACAGAATAACCATATCACTGTTTATTCGCTAGATGAGTTGCAAAATGCTATTACGGTGCTACGATACGATCCTGCTACGCTACGATAGTTACAATGACCAAAGATTTTTTTTCTTTAATCATTACTACGAGAAGATACGTAATACGGTAATTAGGTAAGTAATATGAATATCCGACTATTGTTATAAATGCGAAAGTTCGTATGTTTGTTTGTTTCTCAATCAATAACGACTAACTGATTACTGAAAGGATTTTTTTTTAATGGGGGAAAATCATCGAATTACTGCTCCCGCCTGGGTGAGGCGGGAGGGAGTGTCAGACTCTTACTAAAAACCACCCTGTTCCTTCTCCTGCACGTCGAGCCGGAGCCCCGGTAACCCGTTAGGTTCCCCGCGACTAACTGAAGGGATTGGGATGAAGTTTGGAACTGGGGAAGATTATTGTCTGTTATAACACTACTTTAATATTATCCTACGGGAACGCAGGGCTAAGTACTGGGCTAAGATATAGGTGCTTATAGGTACGACCTGATAAAAATAATAAAGGTAGCTTCCACCAGCTGATCTGGAATTCGTTGGACATAATAATATGTTCAGCATTGGACGTTTTGTGGCTGATATGATGAAGAATATTTTGATGGAAGCTTATACATTTTATAAATGAGTATTTATTTTTAAACAGTTTCTAGGTAAAGTCTTACCTTAAGTTTATTGCCTAGTGATTCGACCACACAGTCAAACCACTGCAACGGTTTTGTGTTCTTAAATTATAACATACTTACCTCTGTGATTTAACGATAAATAATAAAAATAATAACAGATGGTTAGCAGTAGTAATTACCATGGTACCTACCTAGACCTAAGTATATTCCCGAGCGTACGGCGCGTCGCGTTCCGCGCACGCCTCAAAGAGCCATCAGACCACCACAGATGGGGCCCAATAGGGCCGATGCCGATTCGGAGTCGCGGAGAACCTAACGGGTAACCGGGGCTCCGGCTCGACGTGTAGGAGAAGGAACGGGGTGGTTTTTAGTCAGTAAGAGTCTGACACTCCCTCCCGCCTCACCCAGGCGGGAGCAGTCATTCGATGATTTTCCCCCCTTAAAAAAATTAAATAATATAAAATAAAAAAAGACCTAAGTATATTATTTATCTGTTTGTGTTATTATTTTTGGTAGGTATCTAGTCAAGATACATCCTTCATACTAAGTAATTGTCTTTTACACTTTCAATTTATATTTATAGTCTACATTTTACCCATTATCATGACAATTACTAGCTTTGACAGCATTATCATTATGTCTTTGGCTTCTGTGAAACTATAAATGCACCTCAAATTATACTTTAATATTTATTTACACAGTACTACAGAAACACGACAGTAAAATGAATTAAAACATTTATGTTTTGTTGTTAGATTAGGTAATTAATAAGTCGAAACATCGATCTGAAATGGGACATCGCCATAGCAAAAACACAAAGAAGAAGAAAGATATAAAGTATGTTTTAATGCTAACAATTACTTACACTACTTATATTACCTAGAGGTATTTAGAAACTACTCCTAAGGTTAATTTGTATTTTTCTTATGATAGGACTATGCCTTTATTTAATTGGCTTGCCTTATGAAAACTTCTTTCCCAAGTCCCAAAAAAGTTAAGAAGCACTAGGTACCTACATTATACAGGTGCCTAAATTATTTTAATATTATTATAAATTATTTTCAGAGAGAAAAAAGAAGTTAAATCAAAGTCGGTTGCACCCTCTATTTCTTATTTTACTTTGGTACAGTCACATTTTTTACTTAATTCTCGTACATCGACATCAAATTATGATTGATTACACACCTAAGTACCTACATAGATAGTACCTAAGTAGGTAGCTAACTTCATTAATATCACATTTCTATATGCTTTGTTTGGATGGTCAAACAAACTTTCTTTTAAGCCTCAAATTCCTTTTAGGTACCTAAATTGCTTTTTACAGTGTTCACTAAGAGTTCATTTATTTATTGTCCATATAGAATATCAAATTTTATGGTTTTCCAGTACAGATTTTCGACAAAATTGGATAAATTTTTGATATCGATATCAATACTAGCCTCTTTAGTTGCTGGAGTCACACTGCCATACGCTATAACTTTAGTGGCGAATGTGTTTCAAAATATGATAACGTACGACAAGGCAGTGCAAGCAGGCACACAAGATGACGAAGTGTTTCTTTCTCAAATGCACGAATTTGGTGTTACATACTCATGTGTTGGTGTCCTGCTCTTCATTTGCGTGTATTTGGGATCTGCACTTATGAATGTTACGGCAATAAATCAGGTAAAATAGTCAATGGGTGTTCAAACTGTTGTACTTTTGTTGTGTGTGTATATTCTTCAATACCTAAGTAACATCCTAACTACAATTGACACCACAGGTATTTAAAATCAGGGAAGAATATTTAACGGCTGCTTTAAATCAAGATTTTGCTTACTTTGATAAAAATCAAACAGGAGACTTTGCATCGAAAATGGCGGAGTAAGAAATACGATCATCTGATTTCCACATTTTGTACCAACTATAAGACTAACTGATTTTTTTTGTAGTGATGTAATAAAATTAGAAGAGGGCATTGGTGACAAGGTGTCGTCCTTTACGTACAGTTTGACCACAGCCATTGGTTGCATCGTCATGGCTATGCTGAAAGGATGGAAGCTTGCGTTGCTCTGTTTGACAACTGCACCTGTGACGTTCATACTTGTAGGCATAACTGGGCGAGTATGTATAGATACACCAACGGCCGTAATTAACTGATCTTAATCCGAATTCCCTGGACCGATCTAAGGTTTTGCCAGAAACTCCAAACATTTAATATCAAAAAACGACCTTAACTCGTCGAGTACCGTCATTATAGACACAATTATAGAGCAATAGGTTGCGGTCACCGGTGACCGCTTGGTGTTTGACAGTTTAATCTAAAAAAATTCGGTTGGAATTCCAATCGAATTTTTTTCGATTATTGATTTCGGTCATATCGGCCTTACATGTGCATATGTAGGTACATACCTACATATGCACATTTAAGCGATGTACACCATTTGGTATTATATTATTATTATTTAGTCGTAGTCGTAGTCGTAATGTGTGACTGTTGAGTAAAAAGGCTTGCTTTCAATTTTCTGATCAAGCTTGATCTTCATAACTAATTCTCAATCAGATTGCAGATCGTCTATATAAAAAAGAAGCAGCAGAGACTGGTCGAGCTAGTTCCATTGCACAGGAGGTACTGAGCTCTATTCGGACAGTGTATTCTTTTAATGGACAGAAGAAAGAGTTAGAAAGGTATAAGAAACCTCTGGCTGCTGCTAAGAAGGTTTATATACAAAAGGGTAAGTAGGTAACGACTTTCCGAAAAGATTACGGTTCATGTTGATTTATAACGATACATAATTTGAGATTTTTGCCTTACAGAATTTTTCACAGGGCTCTCAATGGCATTTCTATTTTTCTGTATTTTCTGCTCCTACGCCTTATCATTCTATTTTGGAATTTACCTCGTAGTTAATGACCCAGAAAACTATAACGCTGACGTTATGTTTTCGGTGAGAATTAATATTATTCTGTGATTGAAATCAGTGGCGTGCACAGGGTTTTAGAACAGGGTAGGCAACATAATATTGTATTATGATTAAACTCATTGTAAATACATAACATAATTCAACTTATGAGGTTTTTAATCTTTCGTCAATTCTTTGTAACAGTGCCATCTCTCGTTGTTTTCGTGAAGTATTACATCAACTTATTGATTACTCTAACAACTTAAAAACATTAATATTCTATTTTTCTCTTTAGATTTGTAAAACTAATCTGCATAATTACCTACTCGAGGTGCTGTATAACGATTAATCTAATTTATGTTATCAATTCAGTAGCAGTAACGAATTGTTCATTCTAAAAATTGTACTGAACTGGCGGCCTGTCCAGCCTTCTCACGTTTAATACAAGAATATTACGAATTCTTTACTCTTTTAATTTAATTCTTCGAATTAATAAGTTTGGTTCATCTATTCAAGAGATATTATGATTTTAAGAACTTGGGTATGACTAATAGAAAAATCGAACCGAGCGCGGCCGGCTGCGGCCGAGCCGAGTAAGCGGTAGTACATTTTTTAGTATTATTAAACATTCATTTACCTAGCTTATTCTTCTTCATTTCATTTTATAATTAGTACATAACATATTACTTAAAGCTTCGTTATTTTTACTGACTGAGTTGCCGCGACGGGAAGCTCCGCGTAGGTACCTACTTATGTTACATAACCTAATCACATTAAAATAAAGTAACTTTCATAGAACTTACCAAGACAAGACTATCAGAAGAAAAACTCACACACAATCTAATCACTAAGCGATGGTCTGCGATAGTTTATAATTCTTTACCAACTTTTGTCAATACAAACTTCACAGTTCTTCGTATAACTTTGCAAAATCAATTAACAAATAAACAAACACAGTAATAAAATGTACTTATATAAATAGACAATTTTATACCGTTTACTACAAATTATTTGCGTAGAATTACTAATCGTATTCTAAATCAAATAACAAAATTATCCGAAAATCCACGCATCGCACGTAAACAAAAACAAAAAAATTGTCACGCGCGAGCGGCGTGAAGTTCGCTGCGAGGCGACCAATGAGTAAACCAAGACACGGAACGTGATTGGTCGGCACGCGGCGAACTCAATCACGAGTCGTCAGGCCGTGCCTGCAGGCAAGCTTCGCGACGATAAAATAAACGCGTCTGTGCACTACGCACACAATGACGTTCACCACTACACGCTTAAATTTATGAATGGTTTGCAGGCGACGGAACCGCGTGCCTGCCTCGCGCGTTAATGTTTACAGCTATATACGGTACGCCTGGCGAAATGCAACACGTATCGCGCGCCATCATTGTTGCTATACTATTTATTTTAGGCGTTCACTAATTTTATTATAATTATTATTTTAGTTTTCTGTAGTTAAATTAAAATGTTTATATCTTTTATTACGTAGTGTTATTCACGGTATTTGTAAGGTAGGCAAAGCCTTTTTGCCTATATGGACTGCACGCCACTGATTGAAATACTACGTACCTATATATTAAAAGGCTTAGTTAGACCTCTTTCTTTTCAGGTATTTTTTGGTGTAATGACAGCTCTTGGAAACTTTGGTATGGTTGGATCTCTAGTACGGTCATTTGGTTTGGCTCGTGGTGCAGGGGCTCAGATATTTAATCTTTTGCAAAATGTTCCTACAATTAACCCTTTATTAGACAGAGGATTCAAACCGCACACAGCTGAAGGGACTATTGAATTGAAAAATGTGGTGTTCCAGTATCCATCTAGACCGGATGTGCCTGTTAGTTAAAATACATACATAACATCACGCCTATTATCCCCGAAGGGGTAGGCAGAGGTGCACACAGAAGTAACATCCACTTTCCACTATTTATGTTATGTGTCCCACGTAATAGGGGGTGAGCCTATTGCCATATACCTGGCACAATTCCAGACTCCATGCTACTACTGAGATTTTTTAAAAACCCAGTAATACTTTGCCCGACCTGGGAATCGAACCCGAGACTCCTTGCCCGACAGTCGCACTAGCGACCACTAGGCCAACGAGGCAGTTATTTAAATTTAATTTTAAAAAACCCCATGTATGTTTAATCTTCGTACCACAGAAATATTAATATTATATTATGATTTGTACAGAGATGGTAGCAATAATTTTTAATTCCTTATTGTAGGTGCTAAAAGGTGTCAGTTTGACCGTGAAACGCGGGCAGTCTGTTGCTCTAGTCGGACATTCAGGATCTGGGAAGTCAACTATAATTCAGCTTATATCTCGATATTACGATGTGGTCAGTGGTAGTGTAAGTATTTATATAGAGAACATTTATTTTAGACTTCCTAGCTTACTAGTATTTCCGTCCTATTTCCCATAGTTTTGTGTGGTTTTAAACCGACTTAAGTCAGAGAACCTAAGTACATAGTAAAATTTTTAATATTAAAATAGAAATCTTAGACCTACTAATATTATAGGTGCAAAAGTTCGTCACGAAACGAATTACAGGCTGCTTTGTACGGTAGAAGCTAGTTGATGAATATAAAATCATAAATTTTTGTACGAAATAGGTGTGTGTGGATAATATAGACGTACGTGAGCTATCAGTTAGATGGCTGCGGTCTCAGATTGGGCTGGTCAGACAAGAGCCGGTGTTGTTCAATAACACGGTGCGCGAGAACATTCGCTATGGATGTGAGGACGCTACTGATGCAGAGATACAAGCCGCCGCAGAGCAGGCAAACGCTCACTTTTTTATTATAAAACTTCCCAAGGTAAGTTTAGTGTTCTGTTGGTGGAGCCGTTGCAATCATGTAATACTATCAGTTGTACTACTGGGTTGTTGATTTCGATTCTTAGCCGACACGATGTTAGGTATTTGGCATTTGCCAAAAGCGCAACTGGTGAAAAGTCTTCAACTCACTGCATATTTGTTACAAGAGATACAAAATTTGTCTTAATGACTTTTTTTTTTTAATGGGGGAAAATCATCGAATGACTAAAAACCACCCCGTTCCTTCTCCTGCACGTCGAGCCGGAGCCCCGGTTACCCGTTAGGTTCTCCGCGACTTAATGACTTAGAAGGCTGACTTTGAAGATTAAGAATTAGGGATGATTCTTTATGAAATTTATTGTATCAGGGCTACGATACGCTGGTAGGAGAGCGTGGTGCGTCATTGTCCGGTGGGCAGAAGCAACGCATCGCGATAGCTCGCGCTCTGGTCCGTAAACCTCGACTGTTGCTGCTGGATGAGGCCACAAGTGCGCTAGACACCGCCTCCGAAGCAAAAGTGCAGCTTGCACTTGATAAGGTTTCCTCAAATTTCTTTCTATGTATTAAGGGTTATGTGCTAAAGTAGAGTACTTTACACGACAATGACTTAAGTTTTTATTACTTGTTACCTACTACTAGATTTCGGTGTAAAAATTCTCAGTCAGGTATATAGGTAGTAAAAATATTGTCTGGCAAAAGTCTGGATTCCTATTGAATTTGAACTAATAAATTCTCTTTCTCTTCTCTTTTTAAAAACAAAATACCCGACTGCACACTAAAAAAAGAGTAAAACAAGCCCCACAATAATATTGATCAATCAAATGCTAAAAACTAATTATGTAATACCGTTTAAACAATACCTATATTAAAATACACTACAATATGTGTTCGTAATCGATAGTTAAATAAACAGAAACTTATTTTGAATACAAATTTACTGAATATAATTTATAAATGTTGATGGAA